TTACTAAGAATTTTATCAATCCATGACATAATTTGTATAAATTAACTTCGATACGGAAAATGTAATTTTAAAACTGCCTGCCAATAAAATTCAATATAACCGGTTTTACAAGTGTTTTATGACACGAATAAAAAAGTTTACTATAATTAACATAATGAAATTAATAATATTATTAATTAATTTTATATTTACGGTAGCAAGTAAAAAAGTACAGGACATTTAAGAAATCAAATCCTTTACAAAAATCCCTTCACTTCTTTACTTTCCCTCGTACTTTAAGTTTATCGTTAAAAAAGATTATCACGCTGTAATTTTGTTAAGAATCCCGTAGTATTTAATATATAAATATGAAAATAATAATCGAACTAACCTTGTGTAATAGAAAAAGTATCTTCGATCACGACAATCGATTTACAGCCAACTTACACCGCAAACACACTGACGTTCACAAGTGCGTTCTGCCTTTTATATATGAGATCTCAGCTTCCTGCAGAGAGCAACAGCAGAATCCCCACTACACAGTAATCGCGTATAGCTTCTGATTAAATGAATTCATATGAGTCAAATCACACACAACTCTGAAAGGAAAAGAAAAGTCTATTATTCTATTTCTAAACTTTTGTCAATTAAAACTTGTCAAGTAATGTTGAAAATTTCACATTTCTTCTTATCAAAATATATTTTCATAATTTCGACGATTGTAAAAAGCACATTAAAATTAATATTAATTATTTTTAAATATGTGTTAACTCAAATTCTATCTGTTCTGCTTTAATGTTCGCTAAATTAGAAAAAACTACGAAATCCTAGATATCGAATTTAAAGTAATATAAAAACTAAAATTAATTGTTATTTAATTAATAATTTAATAACTTCTATTCTTGAGACCATTTTTTGACTTTGTATTTATCAATTCTCTGAACTCTCAAATAAAATATTAAGTAAAATATAAAATATAATATCTTAATGCGCAAAAAAAATTATACTTCAATATTATCTGCCAACGATATTCCTAATTGGAAGGTCATATCTTATCGACCTATGCGGTAAGAATTAACTTGATAAACCACAGGCTCTCGCAAGCAGTGGACATTGCGGTCAATTCGCCGATTACCAGCTTGCAATGCGAAATGCCTGCGTAGAAGGAAACCGGAGATGGGGTGAGCTTGCTAACACGCTGCTTGATGTTTTCACAAATTTATTTGCGTTCTGTGTATCGAACTACACAAATTACGTAGTAAATTATTGGTCTGTAGTTTTTTTTTTTTTAATTCCCTCTCGCCACGCGATTCTTCGCGTGCGCGCAACAACTGCGAGATCCGATAATTGCGAGCACGAATCTCTTTCTCTCTTTCATTCTCTCTTTCTCTCTGCGGCCGCACATCAAATATTCCTTCCAACTATGCACTTCGATTATCGCGTTAAAGGTCTTTCAATTATTTTCAATATAATCATTTTGCCATTAGCATTTGGAGAATTAAAAGAAATCACACTTTGCATTTTATCTTGCATTTTCTGTTTAAAAATAAAATACACATCAACGCAAAATATACATGCGCAGAAATAAATATAAACATAAAAAAAATTATACCTGATGTTTATCGTAGTACATAAATTTTTATTAAAAAAATCTAAAAAAAGATTGATATAAAAAATTGTCATGAGAAGAGTTTATATGTACGAAAAATCAAGCTTCTCGTCGCGTAATTTTTAAATACAAAAGAGGAATAATTAAATAATCTTATTAAATTACAAAAATTCATCATTTCTCCATCAAAGGAAACACGTACACCGAGTGAGACCTTTAACTGCGCTCGATACACGAAGCGCTCGTTCGAAATTAATCCTGCCGCGCATATAACACTCGCGTAATCTTTAAATAAACGGACCGTATGTATGATGAGCACCCATCTAAAACGTCTAAAAACATTATGGTAAGGCAAGTAGCAGTCGTACGTAAACAAGAACGAGGAATAGGTACTATTGACTATGTATTACAATTAACTAACGCAACATCCGCTTCGGGTAATTTCCGGATCGGGGATTCATCGTCTTGTATGTTTTGCATTCCTCTCTCAATCATCATCTCTCACGCTTCGCCGCGGCCCCTACGGATTGTGTCGTTCGCGTGGAAAAAAATGCCCTTCTCGCCGCCGAATCATAATACAGTGTCGATCATTGATTTGCGATTTACTCTGTTCCGTTCGGAAACGGCTCTCAACATAACACGATAATTTTTCTCTAAATAGCGGGGGTTTTTTTTTTTTTTTTTAACATCGATTCCCTAATGTGACGGAAAAGCTGTACGAGCGCACGATAATCGACAGGAACAAGCGTGTCTCTTCGTTAAGGAATTTTTTTTTTTTTATCCAATTTCTACCAAATTTGGCACAGGACTTGGCTGCCGCGTTTATTGGCTACGATCCTCGCAAACGTTTCGATGTCCTTTCCGAATTTCCCTCAAAGCCGATCGCCGCTGGTTTTCCGGCATGAGATTGCTCCAGCATGATTTTTCCTAAAGATAAATCAAATAAAAAAAAAGATTACAAACTCTTATCTTTTTTTTTCTTTGATCGAACGTCAAATATTTTGCAAGATATTTGCGCTTCAAAAATTCTTCAAATTTGCTAAAACTCATATTTTAACAATTTTCAGAATCGATATTTATTCGATTGTTAGACAATCTTTTATATCAGCGCAAAGTTGTAAATAATGTACACATTATATTTTTATATCCCTGCAGAAGCAATCTCATTTTAACAATATTGTATAAACTCTGCAAAAATTGGATAAATTACAAATGGCCAACAGAAATTTCTTTTCTAAAACTTCCTAATCTTCCTAATCTTCGACTTCGAAGATTGAGAGATCTCGATCAACCTTTCAAAATTCTTTCCTTTCTCGCAGACAAATAATTTACAGATTCTTGCTAATTTTCTGGATATCGGAATCGACTTATAAGTTATCCTGTCATCCGGACGATAAGATATATCGCAACATTGATCTCTTCGCACATCGTCCAAGCACGCGATATGGATCGAAAGATTTACAAAAAAATTTCGAAGATTCATCATGTGACGACATATGACAGATCGGTTTTGCGAAATCTCGTTTGTAGTAATTTCGGCAAAGCGATCCACAAGCTTCGCTTTCTCGCGCGCGTGCTCGCGCCTGCCGGCGCGTATATCGGAACACTTCCGCCACTTGATGAGTCATTCTGATAATGACATCGTATCGACTATACGTCTTTCGGCCAAATTGCTGGCCGACAAACTGTTCACGTACGTTGTGAAATGTTTGCATTAATGAAATATCGTCATGCGTAAAACTGAATGATGCATTTCGAATCCAGACACGCGAAAGAAACTTACTGTTTGCCCCGTTTCATCGTCTTCACGATTTTCCGTACGAAAAATCGAAGGAAAATAAACAAGTCCTCAACTCGATCGTGTCATTCTGTCTCGCGCGAGTATGATAATGTGTCCGACGATAATCAAACGATAACACAAGTGTAACAATAATGGTAATGTCCAATAAAATGTCGAAACTTAAAATAGTACAGCAATACCGTTTGCATATCCCATTACTATAATTAATTAAACAATATACCAACGTAGAAAACAACGCTTAAGAGAATTTTCTTTTTCTTTTTACATTTTTATAAATATAGATAATTAATGTAACAGCACTTCTCTTAGATCCCATATTAAGCTCGAAGAAAGAACGATCGCGCTCATAGATTGCTTCTTTCTATTTCGAGCACGTAAAATTGTCGGCAATCCTATTGTCGCATCGCCATATATTGCGCAAATCGTATTTTTCCATTTTCTTCGAGATCCACACGAAAGAAAGTTAAGCGCGATCGTGCCTCTGCGAGCACGCATTCACGATCCTATTATCACAGTCAACCTCCACCCTCTCGTCTCCCATATTATAACCGCAAATATAATAACACCTCTTCATATTTTGTTTTTGAACATTCCTCGTTCCTTTCAGAAAGTGCAACGATTCCGGAATTTGTTCGGACAAATAAAATATTTCGCGAGCACTTTCGCACGCGAGCCGTTTATGTCGAAAATGCGGCTAGAGGCGCAAGCGGATTTAATTCATTTATACTTAAAATTTTTCAATTCAAAATTCGTTTACTCGCACGTAAACAATAAATATAATTTTTTCTTAATAAAATTCATAAAATAAGTTGTTCAACTTAGCAATAATCTAAAATGATTACTTACTTTTCTCCAACTTTTTTAGTAAAATTATTTTAAATAATTAAAAAATTTTAATTATACATAGTAATTGCTTTGCAGTAGATCGTTTCACAATACATATTATAAACATTAAAAATAATTTCAATGTTTTATGTTAATTAAGTTATTAACATTCAATTAAGCATAAATAAATAAATTAAGATATGAAAACAAAACGATTTTCTTTTTAAATTCTTAAAATCTGACGAATCTATTGACGAAATAGAACTTTTCGACACAGACGATTCGTGTGTTCGCCTCGAGTTTAGAGATATATGCCGTCGTTACTTTAAGAAATAATCGAAAGTATGTAATAGGAACAGTCGCGCACAGGAGAACGCGAATACTCTTGTATCTCCAGGACCATCTGAGTTGCGCAATTTAACCCTTTCAGTACCGAGTTAAGTATAAGGACACACACATTAGCATCTTCGTCGTTATTAATTCAGTTCTTTTTTTTACAGCCAGCTTCATCAGTGTCGCCTAGCGCTAACAGTCGTTAATTAAGTATTCTTTCTCGCACACGGCGGGATACAAATATGCAAATGCTAATATTTAGGCAAGAGTCTTCGTTCACTTTTCCCCTCTCACTTAAATTCGTCAAAAACCTCTCTATTTGTCAACCTCTATTTGTCACTTATTGCAGTTTAGTTTACGTTATGATCTGGAAAGACATCGAGAATCACTTAAACGACGTTACACAAACATCAAGTTACATTAAAATTATCAGTGGATAACTATGAGGTAAGCATCATTAACGGGAAAAGTTTTCAAAAACTGACTCATTCAGTGATAAGAGAGAGGAACCTAGGATGTACGCTTGCTCATTAAGAATCTGGCCGTCCACTTTCCAACTTTAAAAAATTCGCATTTTTCGGCAATGTCTTCAATAATAACATTCATAATTTTGTTGCTTGACACAGAGCGCCACGTACTGTTTCCAATTTCCATTTTCGTAACATCGCCGAGCGATAGCAAAAGAAAGGAAACTGAAGCCGCGAATACTTTTTACCGAGGTTCTAAAATGGACGTGGCGGAAGAATTGGATAAGAACAGCTTAAACTTTTACCATTATTAAATGCAGGTTTAAGGCAGGTACTGAAAGAGCTAATGTGGCGGATAAGGAAAGCGAACTCCTCTATTATATCTCGGCCGATACCCGCCGTCTTCGGCAAAATATCGTCGTCCGGCGCGCGCGTCACGCGCTGTATATCGAGATAAGATTACCCAATTATGATGCTATATATATAATAGTGTCGATCTTTTAATATATAGCAGCGGTGAAATAGAGTAGTGCCCGACTAGCTCGAAATACATAATTAACGAACAAGTAATCGCGAAATATCGCATTATTAATCTATATCTGTATGTATAGAGATATACTTCATATGTGTGTGTATATAATTTTATATATATATATATAATATGTCTATATACATATATACCATTTTGTTCATTTTGCTTCTTTTGTTATACCCCGGGGCTTAGGTACACACGTGACTAGTTCAAAAAAAAAAGAAAAGGAAAAAAGGAAAGAAAAGAGAGGAAACCCCTTCGCTCGCCGCGTACCCACCCTCGTCGCTACGTCTGTGTTCTGGGATATATTTATGTATGAGTATACATATACATGTGTCACGCGTGTGTGTCCGTCGAAGCAGCCTACAATCTGCAAGCGCTCGATCTAGCTCGCTTGTTCGCGCGAGCGCTTGAGGTTCGCTCA